GTGATCAAAAAAGAAAAGCATGGTTTTTCTTGGGATAAGTTAAAAAAAAAAAAAGGAGAATAAGTTTAATGAGCTCACTTGGGTCATATGTCCTCCCCTATGCAAATCACTGAGCCAAGGGATGAGTTGGGATAAAACACTGATTTATGAGTTGCATCTTATGTTTACTTTGTATGTGTGTGTGTGTGCGTGTGTATATGTGCATCTGTGTCTATATATGCACAGATCGAGCAATATGACTGACAACCCCACCAGGACCACATGAAATAAAAAGATGGGCTCTTCAGAGGAAGGGACGCTGAGCAGATAAACAGTTTGTCTAGCATAAACAGTGAACTGGGATTTTAGGCCTATAATCTCATATCTGTAAGACTTGTTTAAAACATATAAACTAAGTATTTTTAGAACTTATAAAAAGGAGATGTGATTTTGGTTTTACTTTCATAAAAACTTATAAGATAATTTTTATAAAACGGTTACAAAAGCATTTAAGTTATTTCCCTATGCCAAGGGTTGGCAAACTGTAGCTCATTGTCCAAATCCAGCCTGCTGCCTGCTTTTTTAAAGTTATATTGGAACACAGCCATGCTTATTTGTTTCTACGTTGTATATAGCTACAACAGTTGAGTTGAGAAGTTGTGACGGAAGCTATGCTGGCAAACCCTGAAATATACTATCTGGTCCTTTACAGAAAATGTTTGTTGACCCCTGCTCCATAAACTTGCTCCTTGGGTATAACCACTATTAACTTTCAAGTGTGAGAAGTGCTTTTTATAGGAAGTTCAGATATGGTCAAATTGAAATTGAGTTTGAAAGCATGATTTCTTCAACTGTTTAGAGAAAAGTGGTTTCTAAAGAGAGAGAACAGTTCTTCCCTTTGATAGGTAATTTATTTTCTTAAGATGGTTGAAGAATTGACTTCCGAAAAATATTAGAAATCATTGATTAAAAAGAAGAGGGACCATAAAACGGGAAAGTAACAGAACAAGTATAGAAACATGAGATACTTGAGGAAAAGAGGATGAGAGCAGAAGGAAAATAAATGTATTAAAAAACTTAGACCAGAGCCAGCTACTACTGTATTTGACTTTTAATTTGGCTTTGTCTCAGTAGTCAAAACAGTGAAAGAAGTATGTTTTGTTAGGTCTCAGCATCTAAACTGTAAGAGCTACACCACTTTAGCAGACTAGAGATGTTTTCCAGTATCTCTCTAGTTCAGTTGGCTCATGTGTAAGGCACCAAGCATAGCAGAATGAATGGAGTTCTCAGCATTTGTGACCAAAAAGGCAGAGGTGTTTTACATATTGTTCTTTGTCATACAGATTTTCCCCCAGTTTTTTATGAGGAAAAATTTCAATGCACAGGGCTTATATTCCACAACATTAGACTCTGGCACATTAGATCTTTATGAGAATAACTCAGCACTGCCCTCTACAAGTATATAATTGCATTGAGAGCCCAGGTTTTTATCTTAAAAATTAGTGTGCATTTTGCAGTCTAATTGTTAAGATGGTAATGTTTGATATAAGATCAACATTTAGAAGGAAATGTGGTGTTCAGGGCCAGAATGTCCTTAGCAGACTGCTGTGTGCTCTTAGGGTTATATGGTTCTGGGTTGAGGAGCAGAGAAACCAATTGTTCCGATGGAGGTGCCAAGCTCAACTTTGCTATTATCTTCATTTCCTACCACAAGCTTTGTGTTGCTCAAATTCAGTTATGTATTAGTATACCATCTATATTGCTAGGGCTTCCAAGTGTGTGTATAATTTGAGACCTTAAATTTTAAGGATGTCTCATTGGGTGGGTCAGGGGAGGGAGGTGACATCAAGAGAGGAAGAAAGTTATTGACACATATAAAACAATTAGCATTTCATTGCCTAAATTGTGAATTACACACACAGAGCACATTGGCAGTCCTTTCTGCAGCATTGTGCTATGGTCTGCAAAGCAGTGAGTGTGCTTCTCTTACATGCATTATATTTCTCATAGATTTTTGTTCCTGATGCTGGAAAACATTTTGAAGACAAGAATTTAAACAATGACTTAAGCCATACTAGTTTACTAGAAAATGAGAAACTTATGTCACTGACAAGCTTGGAAGATTCTTCTGGTACTGTAAAGTAAAGTAACTTGTGTTTTCCTAGCCCTTACCTTGCCACTCCACGACTTTCTGTTCTTGGTTGTAGTAGTTCATACGCCAGCTTATTGTTTCTTTACCTCCTACCTTCCAGCACTCAAATGGCCAATTCTGTTAAGTGATAGAATTTTTAAAACTTATTTCTATGTATCTTGATATAATTATGCTCATTCCTTAGTTTAGTATCATAAGGGTACAAAGTAGTCACCCTAGGTTCCACTCAGAATAAAGCACTATGTTAAGAAATTGGGGGGACAATGAAATATTTAGCCTCTGCTCCCTAAAAGACCTGCTAAGTGAGAAAAGAGATGTATAACTAAACCTTCAGCTGTATTAAGTATATCTTAACAGAACAAATTGTGCAGGAATCATAGGAAGGTGACAAATTCTGAATGAGGAAGCTATCTGTGAAGCTTTATTGAAAGAGGATACAATTTGTCCTCTTTCTTGAAAAGGCCTGTGATAGGCCTTAACATAGATAAGGGCAGAGAAGTACATTTCAGGAAACAGAAACAGTTTCAGCAGAGGTCTTTAATGGTGGTGTGTTGTGTGGCGTATAGACCATGATTTGGAAATAGCCAGTGGTTTTGTGTTGCATGTTTACAGCACCTGTAGGAGGCTGAATTGGGGAACAAACCCAGAAGTAGGCAGGTAGCAAATTTTCCATGGCTTTGAAGGCCAGGCTCTTGGGCTGAGTGGGATAAATATAAATAAATTCAGAACAGGTTTTGCTGCCAGAGGTTTTAGATATTTTTTGATGGTGGAATTATGGATAAGGAATTATTGATTTGAATTTATATAGATCTTTGTTTTAGTAGGCTAGATTCTTAGAGGCAAAATAGCTAAGTCAAAGGTTATGAGCATTTTTAAGGCTTTTAATATTGATAGCAAAATTATCCTCTTGAAAAGGCAATGATAACTTACAATACCATTGCTAGTGATTGAGAGTTCTAGTTTTATCTTGCTTGCCCCTGCTGGGTTGGGTGTCAAAACATTAAAAACCACTACTAGTGTTGTTTATTTTTTTGTAACTTTTTGGTTTTGGAGGTTGAACATTTTTTAATCATAATTATCAGTGTTCAACTTTGTTATATCATTTTTCTTTAGTTCCTTCTTTCTCAAGATCAGATATTTGAAGTTTCATTTTACATTTACTAATTCTGCTAGAATTTATTTTTACTTTTATGTTGGGTTTATCTATCCTTTTTTTTTGAAAGTTACCATTTGCCACTCCATTTTCTGAATAATCTGCCATTTTTTCCACTGATCTTTGATGCCATGTTTCTTATATCCTAACTTACCATGTACGACAAGATTTATTTTTGTCCTGTCCTATCAAAGAATTTTTTAATTTCCATATTTAATTTGTATTGGAATACTCATAATGATTTATAGACCGAAATTATTTTTCTCATGTCATATGTTAAAACAAAATTGCATGACTTATATGTTTTATCAGCCTTTGATTATAGTTCAGTCGCTGCTTTAAAGCCTGTTCTATATTTTTTTCTATTTACCAATAGATGATGATATTGATGATGAAGAGTTTTATGATGATCATTTGGAGGCTTATTTTGAGCAACTGGCAATTCCAGGAATGATATATGAAGACCTAGAAGGACAGGAACCTCCAGAAAAAGATTTTAAGTTACCTACAAGTGATACTGGTCAGGTATGTTTCAGTTGTTACGGTTTTTCAGAAATTTGACATTAAAAAAATTATTACTGGTCTCATTGGATAGTAACATAAAACTTAAGCTTTTGGCTTTCTTGGGACTCTTTTTCCCTAATATAAAATGATGAGAAAGATCTTTCCTGCTTCCTCTTTTCCTCACCTACAGAAAAATTAAGTAATAGTATAATGAACATCTGTATACCCCTCATCCAGATTGACCAGTTGTTAACATTTTGCCATCTTTGCATTTTCTTTGTCCCTCCATGAGTACTTCATTCCTGAATCATTTGAAAGTGAGTTGCAGATTTTGACATTTTACTCTGATACTTCAGTATTTATCTCCTGTGAATAAGGACATTTTCCTACATAATCATAATTCTGTTATCTAACTTTGACACATTAATTCATATTAATATGCAGTCCATATTCAGATTTACCCAGTTGTCTCCAAAATGTCCTTTTATTGTTTTTGGTTCATGATTTAATCAGGAATTACACTTGAATTTCGTTGTCATGTCTCTTTATTCTTTCAGTTTGGAGTAGTTTTTTTTATGTCATTAAACCTTTTATAAAATCTAGGCCTGTTTTGTAAAATGACCCATAAGCTAGATATAGCTGATCAGTTTTCTCCCTCCTGCTAGATTAAACATTTGGTCAAGAATTCAGTTTAAACATTTTTCTCATGAACAGATTAAATGTAGGTGATGTTGTGTACTTCTCATTGCATCATGTCTGGAGACATATAAGTCTGTTTGTCCCATTATTGGTGATGGTGTGTTTGATTATCTTGGTTAACATGGTGTCAGCCAGATATCTTATTGCAAAGGTGCCTTTCTTTACCCCTTTGTTATCAGTAAGTCATCTGTGGGATGATACATCAAGGTCCTGTGAACATCTGATTCTCCAGCAACCTTTCATGAACTGGGTTTAGTATCATTGCTGAGGCTTTCCAGAAATAACGATCACATTGGTGGTTACAATGGTGATTTGTCCGTTTCCTTCTACATTAACTAGTTGGCATCCTTCTATACAAAAGACTTTCTCTGCTCTCCATGTTTTCCCTCTCAAAATGTTTGTTTTTGACTTAAAAAATTAATAAAGCCAAGATATTCTTTTGACAGGCAAATGAAAACTATAGTTTAAACTATAAATCTCAGTCAGAAAATATCAACTGTCTGATTTCCCATGGCTCACACTCTTCGGGAAATTCTGAAACAACCCACAGAGAGTCTGAGGAAGACCATGTTGTTTGTCTACCTGGGACCAGTATGTATTGAAATATGATTCCTTTGTTTTTAAACTCTATTTAATTTTGCATTTTTTTAAAAAAATTCTTTTTATGATTTAACACGTATTAACCCTTCTATCCCCTCAAATCATGAAAAAGCCTAAAATGTTTCAAAACAGCTTTTAATAATACCTGAGTACATTGGTATTATTAGAAATATTATAATCTGTATTTGTATATTACAAATGATCGTGCTCTGATCAGACATTTGAGAATTAGAAATGAGTGCTCTGTATAGTAACAGTTTGTCATGTTTACTGTTGCCTCATACTGATGGTTATTTTCTCTTGTATGCAAATTGGTATATTTGTCAAGAATACTAAATATTAGGTTTGCATAAAATAATTTGAATAGCAAGAAGCAGTTATTACATTAGATTACTGAAACTTTGACATTGCTCCATTATTTTTCTTATATTTTAGGTAATTCTGATAGTAGAAGGTATATAGATGGTGCATTACCATTTTTCTCTAGTACCTGGAAAATTGAAAAAGAGAAAGAAAGGGCAGAAATTTCAAAGGGTACTGTTCTACATTGCGGAAGCGTAAGTTTATATGCATTTTCTTTAAATTTTCTATGAAAAGATAGGTTTTTGTATGATAGTTGTTTTCAAAGAAACAATTATTGACTTCGTGAAAAATGTAGAAAACAAAAAAATCCTCTGTGTGTTTGTATGTATGTATCTTTGATATCACTAAGATTGTATTTAATATATAATTGAATATATTTTCTTAAATATTTAATGACTTGCATTTAGATCATTCATTTGAAAAGTTCTTCAGCTCAGTGTTGACACCTTAAATAAAAAAACAAACAGATCATCTTTAACCTTGCTCAGGCATGTTCATTTTTAATTATTTCATTTTTTTCTCTATTTTTTAATGGCACCCCATTATTCCTTTGCTTGAAACTTGGTAGTCATTTCTGACTCTTATCCCTTTTTAAAAAGCAGTGTATGCCTCAGGATTGTATGATGGTTTTTAATTTAGAGGGAGTGTGTGTGCTTGTATATATAGAGACAGTTGTTTTATCCTCAGAGTAATCCCTTTGAGTGTATTATTAAAGTAGCGAGTGATAATGGGGTTGTTATTTTAAAAGTGATGAAGCTCAGAAGACCTAAATCCTGTCAATATATCCTCAAGACTGTGCTTAGACTTATTCCTGTTCAAGATACTTACTACTACATGTCTGATTTCTTGTCCTGTCTACAGTATTTTTATCATTCTGTTATTTGTCAGCACCAGGTTAATAAGATAATAGTGTGTGTGTGTGTGTGTGTGTGTGTGTGCGTGCGTGTGTATGTGTATGTGTGTGTGTGTGTGTGTGTATTTTTTATTCCTCTGTGTGTGTGTATTCTGTGTCTCTTTAAAATTAGTAATCCTTTAAATGCTTTATGATCTTCCCCATGTTAATATTGTACATTATTTTGTATATTCTACAAATCCCTGTTCCTACTTTTTTTCTCCTCTCCTTTCCTAATTAAGATTATAATCTTTCCAGTCACAGGTCAAAACCTTAGTTACTTTTCAGTAACTCTAGAGTACATTAATTTGTCTGAATTGCTATTATAGTGATTGTTTTTTACAATATAGTACTTTATTCTATATAGGAATATTTTACTTGTCCTTAAGTTGTATGTTTAGCAGCTTCAAGAATTGTTACTCATTACAGGAGCCAGTAGACATAAAAATACAGCAAAAGGCCCCTCCCATCAGGTAACCAGAACAGGAGTTTGTAGTCAGTGGGTTTTCTTCCTAGGACAGATGTTGGTCATATGTATACCTAAGAATATAGTTATAATTCTAATGTATTTAGTTAACAGACATCTAGCCATCAGCTGATTAGAGGTAGCAAATCAGGAAATAAAAGGGAGATGGCGTCTATTAATCTTAAAATGTGATAGTTGATGAATTTTATAAATGTCTATCTGTAGCCATTTAATTTTGGGTTAAGAATCATTTAATTTTGTTATAGTAGTTATTTTTCTAATTAGTGACTATTTGTCACTAAAAACAATAGTTTTAATATTGTTTAGTACTCATAAATTGCTGGGAATCTTGGTCAGTCAGGTATTTCAACAAAAAGAATTATCAGTACCTTTGCAGTCATAGATATGGTGCTTAGTGTAGTAGGCCATACAAAGATAATCTCCTTTCATGAACTTAGTCAGAAAATACAAGAAATACTTAGATAACTGTAAAGTAAGGTGGCATCCTGGGTGTTGAAGCTCATCATACCTCTTGAAGGAAGTCCTCAGGCTTTGACCAGCTTACATTCTAAAAGTTTTCTGAAGTTTGGAAATTTTTCTGTGTAAGTAAAAACATAATTTCTGATGATCCATTTTTAGTTCTTCTAAAAAAGTATTTAATCCATAAAATAGCCAGGATCTGTAGGAATGTCCAGGCTCTCTGAAGGCGAAGCCCTGAGGCCCTCAGCAGTGGTTGAGAGGAAGGCAGTAAGTGTGGAGGAACTGCGAGCACTGGCTTCTGGCAGCCAAGGTTCAGGACAGTGTGGAGTAAACACATTCATCAAAGCTTTATTGCTTGGATGGGGGAAAATCCCTACCTGTAGGTCAGTCATAAAAAATGTTACATTATTTTATTAAATTTCTTATTTTTCCCATATTTTAAGGTCGTGTTGTTTGTGTTACCATGAGGTAACGATATTGTGTCCTTAATTTGGCAAGGTTTGCAGCCCATTTTTCTTAGTGAATGGCATCTAAGGAACTCAGTAATGCAAGCTACTAGATTACTTGTTTGTTGTAATGTTTCTGTATATAAGAAATTGTTTTTTCCCCACCAAAGTAATGTAAATGGTGGGAGTTGCAGGAACACTGGTGCCATCTGGTATGAAAATGTCTTCTTACCTGAAAAGAAGAAAAATGGGGGAAAAATTGGAGATTTTAGGTATCAATTTCATATTTGTATAAATTTTTTATATATAATTTGGATCATAAAATTTTTGTCTCTTTCATAATTCCCCCATTTTGGTTTTCTTCTAAATATGTCTTTTATTACCTCTTATTCCCTAAACATTTTTCACTTACCTCCAACCCATCATTGTTCTCTCTGCTCTGTTTCTGTAGTGGTCAGAAATTGCTTTTCCCCGCTCTGGCATTAATATTACAGTTTTATGAACAATGGTGTAAGCTTTGCATATGGATTAATTTTCCCACTGATACCCACTTTCCCAATATTTATTAAAATAATGCTTGCTTTTTTAAAAATAATGCTTTTTGCATTATTCTGTGTCTATTTTTTATGTTTTAAATATATTAATTTTAATTGTGGTAAAACATGTATAAGAATTTACTGTTAACCACTTTTAATTATGCAGTTCAGTAGTGGTAAGAATATTCCCATTGTGCCGCAATCTCCAGAACTCTTGCAAAACCGAAACTCTACCTATTAAATAAATTGCTATTTCTCTGTTCCCCCCAGCATGTTGGCAGCTACCATTCTATTTTCTGTGTCTATGAATTTGAGTACTATAGGTAACCTCATATAGATGGAATCATACAGTATTTGTCTTTTAGTGATTGGCTTATTTCACTTAATATAATATCCTTAAAGTTCGTCCATGTTATAGCATATTTCAGAATTTCCTTTTTAGCTGACTAATATTTTGTTGTACATATATACTTCATTTTGCTTATCCATTCATCCATCAGAGATACTTGGGTTCACCATTCAGTATGATGTTAGCTGTGGGTTTTAAAAAAAATGCTTTTATCAGGTTTGGGAATTTTTCCTCTGTTCTAGTTTTCTCAGAGTTTATTAGGAAAGGGTGTTGGATTTTGTCAGATGCACTTTTTGCATCATTTAAGATGATTATATATATTTTTTCCCTTTTCTCCTATTAATGTATACTACATCAATTTATTTATTTTAAATTTATTGGGGTGACATTGGTTAATAAAAACATAGGTTTCAAGTGTACATTTCACTTAATACATCATATGTGTATTGCATTGTGTGTTCACCACCCAAAGTTAAATTTCCTTCTGTCACCATTGATTTCTTATGTTAACCACCCCTGCATTCTTGGTTATCTCTTACTTGGTTATGGTGAATAATCATATTCATAAATCATATTCCTTTCTATTAGATTTGATTTGCTAAATTTTGAGGATTTTTTTCATCTATAGTCATAAGGAATTTTGGTTTGTAATTTTCTCATGATGTCTTTTTTCTGGCTTTGGTAACAGTAATTGTGGCCTTAAAACAGTGTTAGGGAAGTGTTCCTTCCTCCTCTATTTTTTAAAAAAGATTTTCGGAAGGATTAGTGTTAATTCTTTAAACATTTGGTAGAATTCACTGGTGAAGCCATCTGATCCAGGAGTTTTCTTTGTTGGGAGGTGTTTGATTACTGATTTAATGTTTACTTGTTCTGTTGAGATTCTGTTTCTTTTTAGTTAGTTTAGGTGATTTGGGTATTCAAGAAATTAGTCTTTCTAGGTTATCTAATTTGTTGGCCTACAGTTGTTTATGGAGTCTTATAATCCTTTTTATCTCTGTAAAGTTGGTATAATGGCCCCACTTGTCCTCTGATTGTAATTATTTACATCTCTTCTTTGCTAGCTAATTTTTGTCAATTTTGCTGATCTCAAAAGAACTAACTTTTGGTTTCATTGATTTTTCTCTATTTTGTTTATTTCCAATGCATTCTTTATTATTTCCTTCCTTTGCTAGCTCTGGGTTTAGTTTCCTCTTCTATTTTAGTTTCTTAAGGTATAAAGTTAGATTATTGATTTGTGATCTTTCTTCTTTTTAATATAGGCATCGACAGCTGTAAAATTCCCTGAGCAGCAGTGCTTTCACTGCATTCAATAAGTTTTGGTATGTTGTGTTTCAGTTTTCATTCATCTAAGTATTTTCTAATTTCTTTTGTGATTTTTCTCTGACTCATTGGTTGTTTATAAGTGTATTATTTGTACATTTTGATGGATTTTCCTTTTTTTTCTTACTGATTTCTAACTTCCTACTGTTATGGTTGTGGAAGATACTTTGTATGATATCTGTCTTTTTATATAATTATTGAGACTTGTTTTTTGGCTTATCATGATGGTCTATCCTTGAGAAAGTTCCATGTACCCTTGAGAAACATGTATATTCTATTGTTATGTCTCTTAGATCTGATTGGCTAATTTTGTCATTCAGGTCCTTTTTTTCCTTATTTACTTCTAACTGCTTATTCTGTCCATAATTGAATGTGAAGTATTGAACTCTCCAACTAGCATTGTAGAACTGACTGTTTCTCCTTTTAGTTCTGTTAATTTTTTTCTCATATGTTTTGAGAGTCTGTTTTTAGGTGCATAAGTGTTTATAATTGTTTTATCTTCTTCCTATATCAAACCCTTTACTAAAGTATAATGTCCTTTTTTTATATCTTGTAATCTTTTCTGATATAAAGTCTATTTTGTCTGATATTATCATAGCCACTCCAGCTCTCTTTTGGTTACTGTTTGCATGGAATATCTTGTTTTATCCTGTTACATTACTGTACTTTACTAGAGAAAAGGTTTTCCCTGGTAACTGTGTTGAA